TTTTATTACCGAAGACGTCATTAACTGAAGCAGTAGTCCTACAGGTAGACTGCTCCGGAAGCATTGAGCGCGCAGCAATACTGGGCCGCTGCAGTAAAACAGGTGGTTAAACTAGTCCACTAGCTGGTGCAGGCACCGAAGTGGCCAGTCTTCCCTAGAAAATATCAGTTACTGTATTTCATGTATTTCATTCAAGTATGTTATTTTACCGCTTACGTTTTGCGCATCCGGACATTGTTCGTTCAAAGTTTTCGTATCATTGGCGCTGGAATAGTTATTTCCATCAGAGTTAGCGATAGCTGCAAGAAAGGCATACTTATCAAAATCGAAATATTTACAACATTATTATTCCAGGATAGTCACAAATTATTCACCATGTGTTGGAGTTAACCAAATTTCGAAATTTTCTGATGATGTCCCAGGAGGTATAGACTAAATTTTAGAAGGGCTGGGATGGTAAAGTTCGCCGGACGGCACAAATGCCTTTCAAAAAACGCAGTTTATATAAGTTCAGCACAAGAAGAAGTTTCAGGAGAATTTGCGTACTATCAATGGATTTTCGGCTGGTTTGCTTGTGAGCGGCATGAGAGGCGTTGTAAAATCGATTGACGGGCAAGCGTCTGGCATAACAAACCTAATTAGAAACGCGAATCAAATATTCAAATCATATTCCGCTGGTTACCTTGTACTGGCTCGAGAATATTCTGGGACTCAAAAACAGCATGAACAGCGTGCGGAAACCGATTGATTGCGTTGAAAACATATCCGGCTGTTCAGAACTGTACCCGGATCTTGAACCACAGCCGGTGGCGTGGTGGTCCGGTGACTTGGATGTTTGTGTCGACTCTGGTGGTGTAGACGGACTGGCGGCTGGAAGAGATTGCGGACCCAGGCAACTTTGAAGCCGCTTTCCCGTTTGTGCTGTTAACTAAATTTTTCGCACTGGTCATATAATGAAATGAGTGATCGCAGCTACCTGACAAAGGGCGCAGAAAATATTGTTGAACAAAAATCGTTTTCCGGTTTCACTTTCAATTTAAAAAATCTGAAGTAAACGTCGATGACTGAGCAACTGTCCTAATTTTTTCATCCAAAAGTTTTTTTATGGTAAACTTGAATATGCCGGTACTTACATACTGGCGAAAATATCCAGTTAGTTGTATATCCTGAACGTGTGCCAACTTTGAACAATTCAAGCGGACACTGCAATAAAAAGTGGTTTACGATGTCGACCAATCTTAGCTTATTTAGAGATAAAAAATAAGTAAATAAAGGTATTTGCTGTTACATACGACTTTCATGGGATAAGCGCAAAACAAATTTATTAAAAGACATTTAAGTTTAGAACGCAGCTTTTACAGCGGTTATATTAAGGAAATACCGCCAGATCTAGCAGCACCTTTATTTCCTGGTGGGGTTTAAAAAATAATAATAGTAAGATCAAGTGTAATTAATGGAAAGCAAATAAATAAAAAAAATTCTGCACAACTTATTAAAAACAAGAAATGAGAGTACCTGATTTTTGGCGCTCGGTTTGCGAGTGGAGGTTTTCTTCAAAAACTGCATTGCTTCGGACTCTGTAGCATCAACATATTCCACGTGGTATCGAAAGTATCCGGCAGCGGTTTTGGTGGTTTTCGGGAACCAAGCAAGAACTGTGTCGCCAACGGCATACTCCGTGCCGCTGTAGGTGTTCTTTAAGAACTCATCCTCCACGATTTTGAGAGTATTCTGCTTAGTCTTTTTCTTTGTGTAATCCATGCATCTCATTTTTCCGTCAACCGCAGACTTAATCACAATGTACTCTGTAAAATGTTACTTCAAACAACTGCCAAAATTTTAAAAATTGTCGAAATACGTACTTTCCGTGGAATCGTTGGAGCGGTAATAAACATCGACTTCATCGTCAAACTTTTCCCATTCCTCCTTGTCCGCAGAATCCTCGTTATAAACTTGCTCGGTACTCCGAGAACGGGAACGAAGATCACGGTTAGCAGACATCGATAATTCTTTATTAAATACTGCTTTTATTAAATTCGATAAATCAGACTAAAACATGGATAATCTTATCATCGTTATTGCCGCTGAAACTGGAAGACCTTCGCCGAAGTGAACTAAAGCGGATACCGCATTCACAAGATTCTGCCGTTTCAATGCTGCCTGCTGATTGGCTAGCCACAGCGCGACCAATCAGCGCGTTCTCCTCCCTGAGATATCCGCTTTTATGTATAAATTAAAACGAAACATTCAGGATATGAATTGCAAAATAAGCAACACATGGAAACAAAACTGGTAAAACAATTATGTGTTTAGGTAGGTACATTAAAAGCCAAAACAATTTTAAGTGAAACACTTTTAATAACAAGCGGTAATCTAAAATGTTTAATTTTTGAGCATAACCGTTAACGATGGCACCGTGTACCTATATAAGCACTTTGGGGAATTCGCTAAGAAAAATACTGGATGATCCAGCTGGTCTAATAGTAACACCACTGTATTCGCTCCATGTGTGGGAAGCAGATGTTGCATCTAATGAAAAGCATAAGTGATGTTGGCGCTTCCGAAAAGTACGGTTGATTGATGAACAAAATCGTTAATCATCCGCTCGGCGACGTCTCCACGTTCAGCGATAACAATTTCCGGTGGAGTCTGCACATCATACCGATCACAAACAAGGTGGTGGAGTGCATAAGAAAGCGTCAAAAGGAGCTGCCTTAACTCTGGAAACATGAGCTCTTCAAACGAATCATTTCCTTTTTGCAATGCAAAAGGGATTACAACCAAAAAAAAGAGGAAATATTCAGACGCTTTGAAATCCTTCCAGTCTTTTGGGTCAGCGCGAGGGACGCGTGGACAAATTCTGGGATAAAAAATTTAATTCATTATCTTTCCAATTTTATCGGCTTCCCCCTTGTTCAATATAAATTTTCGACCGCCGGAAAACCGTGGAAATAGTGCCGCTATCGGAAGCGACGACAATGGAACTTCAAGGAGAAGTTTGAAGATATGTTTCCCCAAATTTAGCGTAATATGCATCAGGTCGTGCGGCATGCAACGGATAATGTCGAATTGCTGCTGTGGCAAATGAAGCAATTCGCTGAAGTTATTTGTTTCCCTTTTACCAACTGCGGCATTCGAGCTTTAAGTGTTTCCTCCAGTAAGCGCATTCAACGCCCAGTCCCGCGCATCTTGGAGAGTCTGCGCATGAGTTCGGTTTTCGTGTAAAAGCCCGTGTGTATATGGATAAGTTGCGGAACCAAACCCCCCACTTGCTGACCGAAGGCACGTGGTGCAGCCGTACTCTAAAGAATTCCACTGGCGATTGCCGCGGGCGTCGCATCGCCCTGGAGAGTCACAGCAGCAGCAAAGCAGATTTAGCGACACGTTTTCTAACTCCGCAGAGGCTTTTTTGTAGTCATCAACAAATGGCTTTAGAATTGTTTGAGCGCTGGGCTTGCTCTGGCAGCAAATCACTACGGCGTAGCGAGCCATATCCCACCGTACAGCAATAGAGAATTCGACAATAGTCCACATCAATACCCACACTTTGTTTCTTGCTCTTTTTAAATCGGCTCCGTCAAACCTTTTCAAAACTTTTTATAACCAGTTATTGCATTTATATCATATAACATTTCATAGCAATACATCGAATAGTATTATATTATATTACATTACATTAAAGTAAATCTAATTAAGATGGATTAATAGAATTTGCCTGATTCAAACAACCTCAATTAAAATCAACTAAATTGTATTTTCACTATTTTTATTTTAGAAAGCCAACAGGAAGCTAATAAGAATATTCTTAGAAGCCTTAGTTTATTTAACTAGCGTATTTTATTGAAGCTTACCAGAATAATAAAGTTGCTTTCTCGCGGCGATTTGTTTGTAATTCCCTATATCTTCTACCGTGGCGTATGTCCAAATAACCTGAAGGAATTTCGCTCTGCAACAAACGGCTGGCAAACGGGTCGCTGAACAACTGCCGCAGCAGTTTAGTTAGCTCAAAGGTGTGAAACGTTTCCGTTAGAGTATTTGGGCAATCCAAACATCTCTATAACAGAAACTGTAGCGTCAATAACTGACTTCATGATTTTCAAATGAAGTCTAATTTTAAATCCTACCATTCCTTAGTTCAAAATTTGACATCACTTTTACATGATGCTTGCCTTTACCCAAATATTCCGAGTGGTTCTTGCACACATAATGAGAAACTGGTGGCACGCTACATGTTTCAAGACTTGGGGCCAGAGAATGGCCGATTGGGAGATACTTATTTAAATAGCATAAAATATCATTCTGCATCAAATTGCTGGCGTTATGTCGCCTAAAGATTTCGAGCAAATCCGTAAGACCGTCAACGTTTGAATGCAGCGACCCTGGAAATAGCGGAATAAAATCGTCACAGTCATGAGTTCCTTCAGCTAATGCTTGCGCGTCTGCAAGAGTTTCTCCATCGCAAATATCAGCATTAGGAATTGAACCATGTTCGAGATCCGAGGGGCTAGTATTGCTGTCGTATTTAGCTGCTTCAATTTGATCAATTCGATGGGTATCTTCTACGAAATCAGCTGCCGTTTCATCCACGGCATTCGGTTTCCTTCCTGTAGAGCATTTTCGAAACTTAAAAATTCGCATTTCGAAGGTGTTAGTACGAAAAACCTCACCAAAGACGGTAACCTTGGGCAACTGCCGGTAGCAATGACTGCGATTTCCCTCTCCTGGTGAAATTTTCTTAAAAAAAGTTCTAGGCTTTGACATGTCAGAACGGTGCGTTTATTTTCCTACTGCTACACCAAAAATAAAAATTTATATATGCAATAAATTCCCATACACCATCTAAGAACCACACATCACTGAAAACCACGAAAAAATTTCACAGAGAACACCAAAACAACAAAATGCACAATAAAACTCAAAAAACAAATCCAAATATCAACAGTGAAGTTTTTAAAGTAACACAATATCGAAAATATTGCAGTAGTATAGCGAATGGCTTAAGTCGCTTAAAATTCACGCCCACGTTGAAGCGCAACTTGGGAGCGGTGCTGGGGGTGGGGAATCTCTGCCGGAAGTGCGAAAACTAGTAAAATCTCTGTTCCGGGTCTGCAGGCTGGTGTTTGATGGCCTTGCTGACTGTTTAGGGGGCAACGGGGGAGGAAGCTGTTGGTATCTTGCGTTACTGATCCTCTGCTCAAGGGGTTCAGAGACCTGGTAAGGTGTGATAACAGTCCTAGCATCCGACGGTTGACTGGCATATCGGCAAGGCACTGCAACTACAAGTGGAGTAACGCTTCCCGTTGGAGTTCTCTCCGGCCAAAAAAGGTTGTTTTGGGAGCGGCGTTTCTCCGACCAACGCAGACAGACAGGCTAAAAATAACTTAAATGTACTTCTCAAAAATCGCTAAATGTATTCTCAGTTTGCATACCAACATATAAAGTCCAATAAGCAGAACTACGGCTGCCCCAAGAAGTACCAGAATAAGTATGTCTTTGTCAACGTTTGGAAAAGCCTCCTTAGCTTCTACAATAAAAGATTAACGGTAATAATTCGTTAAAAAATTATTCGTGAAATTTCCAACCTGGGACGCTGGCGTTTTCCGCCTCTCCGTCATCTTTTTTTGATCCATTCAGGGCGTTGCGGAGAACTTGATCTAGTTCCTCTGATCCTACAAAGGAGATTTTTTATGAGTTATTAATTCAATATTTTGGCGATTTTTTTGAAAATCCATACAACAACATTTATCCAGTGTTCAAGGTTATGATTGTGTAATCACCTTCATCATCTGCGGAGCTGTAATAACAAGCATCACCCAGTGATGATGCGTGAACATTGCGAGTAACGGGAAGCGCATTATTTTGCAGAAGGAAAACAAACGCGGCGAGGAATTTTAACCTGCGAAAAATAAGAATTTCAATTACCTTCATTTTGTCAAGAATATTCCAATTTTGAGAAAATTACGTAAGCCATTAACTTGCAAATCAGAAATGCAGTTTGATGCACACGAAACTACTATCTGGTTCAGGTGTGCTGCGCAAGAGTAAACTCGTTAAACAAAGACTACATCAGGCGGAAAAACATCATACCAACACTAAGACGGCAGAGAATAATTTGCGTTTCCACCTGCCGGCGTATACTACTCATACCTTATTAGTGTTGACGCACTACTAGACCTGTTTCAAATTTGAGCCGGTGGTCAACAACTGGTCACTGCACTGACTTTTGCGATGTTAAGTTGTCGCTGTTTTTATTTTTTTAAACATGGAGGCCGTCCCGAGAGAAGACTTTCATGTATTTCAGATTGTTGAAAACTTTGCTAGGTGTTTCTGCGGTGTTTATCATGTCCGGTGGCAGGGATGTGGTTGTCTGTACGGCGACACGCGCATTGCGTGTCTTCGAACCCTGACGGATAATTCGACCGCACGGTGCTGTGCCGAAAGATTCCCACTCAGAGAAAGTCCTTTTCGTCTTGCGGGAAATTGCATCCAACATCGCGTCGGGAACGCTGCTGATTTGCCCCCTGATGTACCGATGATCGTAATCCCTGAGGAAAGAGTTCTAATTGCATGGGAGGATTTTAACTTGCTGCGCTTAGTTGAAAACCCTGCCGAGGGTTGTTATTGTGCCAATTATCATGTCTACTGGCAGTGTCAGTGTCTGTACATGGAGCGGAAGGTTTCGTTGTGGACGCCTCACGCCCTATCTGGATCCCGCGAGTTCAAGTTTTGTTACAGAGTGTTTAACGCAGTGGTTTCCCATATAGAAATAGCGGGGGCGCCACCTGGATGCCCAGGGCATTGACTTTAGCCTATGGTCAGAGAAAATTTATGTTAAGAGGTTCTAGTGATAATTTCACTGTAAGAAGAGAAAGGCGACGGTATTCGAAACTACAGTTTTATAATTAGTTCAGTAGTATACTGAAGCTTTTGTTGTGCACACATATGTCTTGCGATCAGTGTGGTGGCCATTTCTGATCTTTTTATTGTTGTCTGATTGTGTTCATTATATTTGGTCATGAATATATACCGCAAACAGATGTACTGGACTTTGTTAATGCGCGGCTTTGTTTATACCGGTCAATAAAAATGTGTTGCATTTGGTCTGCTATCAAATGATTTGAAAACAGGAACAACTGTGCAAATCATTCGTATGGACTCACACGCTAACACGGAACGTTCCCCTGTATTGCTGCCGTCACCCGCTTACGGTGGGACGTTACGACAATACATCTGGTTAAATCTGGCGCGGTACACAGCAACATGTTCGATCAGCCATAACGTCAGACTCCAGGGTGACAGCAGCAGTACAGGGGAACGGTGAATAACGTTTGATTTTGCCCCTTATAATCATAATCGTCTTAATACTCATAATCCGACTCATAATCACAATCGGTTAATTATACCAATAATGGATGTCATAACCATAATCATACTTTGCTCCTACAGCTCACCATATTTTTGCTCATAATTATAACTCATATCCGTACCACTTTCTGTCAATGAATCTCAATGAATCCCGGTAAATCGAAGTGCACACAGCGGTGAATCCAGCATAGAGTGTGTGTATCCAAGTGATTCCTGGTTGCAGAATAATTGCTAGATTTCTATCATATTTTCCGTCAGTGAATCCTAATGAATCCCGGTTTATCGAGGTGCAAACAACGGTGAATCCAGCCTCCCAGTATGTGTATCCAAGTGAATCCTGGTTGCAGAATAATTGCTGGTTTTTAATCATATTTTTTGTCAGTGAATCCCAGTGAGTCCCGGTGAATCAAGGTGCGAACAACGGTGAATCCAGCATCACAGCGTGTGTATCTAGGTGAATCCTGGTTGCAGAATAATCGAAAGATTTTTATCATATTTTTTGTCAGTAAATCCCAGTGAATCCCGGTGAATCGAGGTGCACACAGCGGTGAATCTAGCATCACAGCGTGTGTATCCAAGTGAATCAGGTTAATCGGGTCTTGAATCAAAATTTCAAAAAAATCCTCAAAAATTTGTGTAAAATTCCGGGCAGCTCGAAAGCCAAACATAACATAAATTTGAGATTTTAAATGACCCCAGCGTAAGCTAATTCACGCTGTCACATCGGGCGGTGATACCTGTGTCACGCACCGGAAGTCCCTGATATTCATTTTTCTGAAACTTTTACCTTTCAGGTCTTCCGGAAATCTTAATTTAGTCAAACACGTATCTGCAGCAGTGTGCAGATGTTGATGTAGCGCTTTAAAAATCCCTGTTCGGCCATGACGTGTAGTTCCATACGGAAAACGTTCCATATTATTTTATTATTTTATTATTTTATTATTTTATTATCTTATTATTTTATTATTTTATTATTTTATTATTTTATTATTTTATTATTTTATTATTTTATTATTTTATTATTTTATTATTTTATTATTTTATTATTTATTTTTTATTTTATTATTTTGTTATTTTGTTATTTTTTTGTTATTTTATTATTTTTATTATTTTATTATTTTATTATTTTTATTATTTTATTATTTTATTATTTTATTATTTTTATTATTTTATTATTTTATTGTTTTATTATTTTATTATTTTTATTTTTATTTTATTATTTTATTATTTTATTATTTTATTATTTTATTATTTTATTATTTTTATTATTTTGTTATTTTATTATTTTATTATTTTATTATTTATTATTTTATTATTTTATTATTTTTATTATTTTATTATTTTATTATTTTATTATTTTATTATTTTATTATTTTATTATTTTGTTATTTTTTTATTATTTTATTATTTTATTATTTTATTATTTTATTATTTTATTATTTTATTATTTTATTATTTTATTATTTTATTATTTTATTATTTTATTTTTTATTATTTATTATTTTATCTTCTATTTGATTTATTTGAATAGC